GACGACGACGACGACGACGACGGAACTGAAATAAAATCATCTCGCTCGCCATTTCAATACGCCCTGATCTCGTACACTAATCGTATTGAACTTGGTGGCAATCGCTTCAGAACCTTCAATTCCTATAGTGAATGTATCAATAACTTTTCCTCATATATAACGGTTTATAAGATATTTCGTTCCAAACACAGGTATAAGGAGTTGACTCGAGTAAAGAGTCTCGGCGCGCTGCGCCTTGTACAGCCGGTTGCCTGTACTTGGCGCGAGACTCGACCGAGTCTCTTGATTTTGATAACGGATAAAATCGTAAAAATGAAATACAGCGACACTTGACGGGGTCAACGAAAAAAACGAATGATTTACAGAAATCCGTGAGAGGGACAGACGCGGCCGTTATAATATTTTCGGAAGTTGCGGTTATATAAAAAAATTTCAATAGCAGGTGCGACCAATGGACAAGATCTTACAAAAGGATACATAAAACTGTATTATGTACCTTGAAAATCCATATAAAATATATATGTATATATATATACATATATACTGTATATCAGTTTGAAAAGATGCTCCCGATACCCAAATACATAATGCACTACGATCAATTTCTTCTTAGCAGCCTTGGAGAAGCCTTTGGCAAGTTCTCAACGAGCGACGGAATCCCGTTCTGAAAAAGCATGACCCGATTGGGAAGTGACGTCGCAGTTCGAATTTTCAATGATCACCGAGCGATCGTAAAATACCAAAGAGTCCACTGGACATTCCATAGATCGGTAGAGGTCCTGTAGTCGGTGTACCTGAACGATCGTGAAGATCCGATCGCGTGTTTGTCGTAAATTTCAAAAGTTGCCCTGAAAAGTAACCAGAAGTAAATTACTAGCTTGCTCCTACTAAATTCTCAGTACCATCGATGAAAGGGAGGAAGCCACACCTAATGTTCCTGATACTTGGAATGCAAATGGGTCTTCGTAAACAACAGCTTTGTCCTAGATCAGGCATCAGGATTCAGGTCGCGTACCGAACGTTATGGTTCACGAGGGGGTCACGCGTCCCGACGACCAGTTGCAATACATGGACGCCCCATGCAGTGACGAGGTTGTTACAGCACGCGTCCTTTGCTGTTGGATAATTTTCAAGTCTCTGAGGAGATTGAGCAGTCAGGTACGGGCGTCGCGACGCCCTTGAAAACTTAGACAGCCGTGCCTAACCCCCCTTGCATGCATCGTGGATGCGTTTATTTTGTTACTTACTGATAAGGGCGATAAGCTGTTGTTGCCTTGTATATTTTGCGTAAAACGAATTTGATCTGGTATGTTTAGATTTGTGATAAAAATCTGATTTATCAGGTTTACTGGCTGTTCGCTTAACGGATGTAATGAATAGGAAGCATTAAGGGAATCTGGTCTTATGGACGGTGTGAAGTGGGTCAATGGATATGATGCAACTTCAGTCAGCATGGGTCATAGTGGGAAATTACAGTTTAAACGGGTTTACGTATATATTATATGAGACACGCACGTGACGAGCTAGAGAGATCCTATTCATGTATGTGCATAAATAACGTGTGATATGACAGATACCGATATGGAGGCTGGGATAAACATTTTTTTTGTTAGAAACATGCCTGAGAATTCAAGATTTGCGAGGATGGATAGTGCAAAAAAGGGGAAAAAAGTTACGGGATTAAATGATTTTTACAAAAATCCCTGAATCCCAAAAAAAAAATTTCTTCACTGCTATTTACTTCTTGGCGTTGGCGTAATCTCGAAGGCAGACTAAATCGCAGTACGGAGCGGTCGTAAAGCTAGTTTTATTTTCCACGTAATTTAGTCTGCTCTTGCAGAGGAGGGAGGCTGCACAAACCTGCCTTGATGTCAACTTCTCCAAGCAGTGAATGCTGACTTCCAACCCTTAATGGTAATTGGAGAAATAGGATACGTAAGTTAGGTGGGTCCTACATTCTTAACAATCGGAACTCGTGATTACCGGGAATATTTTTTCACTCTGGTTCTAGAAAGGGGATGATAGACAATCTTTATAGTCGGATGACTATCGCTGTAAACCAGGGTTTGCCGGAGTGTCTACGTAATGGCCTTTTACTATCCCGAGTGTCTCAAGTGCACGAGCACTGACTCTGAACTCACTCTCAGTTCAGGATACAAGAAAATAGCGATAGTCGATGCGTGCAAGACTCCAGCACGCATGAGCTCACGGTAATGCAATAAGCTCGTGCATAAGTAGCCAGTAGTACCATGAGCCTTCGTCACGCACGCTGAGAATTGAAAGGACGACCTTAGCCGTGCTGCCTTGAAATAAGTATTGAAAAGAAGAGCAAGAATTTACAAAAGTTTTTTCAAAGAGATATTAAAAAAAGAAAATATTTGTACCATCGAGTTATTAGTCCCACATCAATCATTACGTTTGTATGTCTAACTGAAAATATTCAAACTCACCGAGGGCGTCAATTTCGCTATGGAATTTAATATCCCACTTGAGTTTCCCAATGACGCCGCGCGGCGCTGTTGTCGCTTCATCGAAAAATATTTGTATCGATATATTCGCGTGCGATTATACCCAGGATTCGAGAATGCGAAAAATCTCGAAACTTCGTTACAACGTTCACGTTCAGCGATTTCCTCCTCAGGAAGTTAAGGACATGGAGTCTATGAGTTTCTTCGTTACGGAATCCCCTTTAGTAATCAAACCTATCAGAATCAGGATGACTAATGGAATAGAATATTGTCAAAGGGGATGCCAGGTATATCTATTTTAATGTGTACCTTCAGGAGATTCGAATCTGTCACGCCTGCGTCTAACCCTCGACATTCCAATTACAGTTTGAAGTTGGTTACTTCTGGTGTGATGGGTGCTGTGTGCACGCTCAACCGTGATTCCGCAAACATCAATGGCTCCGTTTACTCGTGCAGATTCTTACCCAGTGTATAAGCACTGTGAATTACATTGCAAGTATATATAAATATATATATATAAGTACAGATAAGCTTATAAATAATAAGCTCATACTATACTAAAATAGATTTCTTTTTATTCATACAAAATTTTGTCTACCCTCAAGTTATTATCTATCGTACCATTTTTCAGCGTATGGATGAGAAATAAAGTGAAAAATAAAAATACCATCAACGCATCGAGTATGCATCAATAAATAATCCAACCCTCGAGCTTGTAGCAATATTGGAAAACACAAGAGCATACCCTACAGCTGCGCTTCGACGGAATTATTAGAATTTACAAAAAATAATCTACGTCCGACAATAGCCGACCAAGTAAATTCCCAAGCATCGCGAGACGTTCTATAACCATTTCCCTATAATATAATAAAGTAGCAAAAAACTCATCGATTAAAAATCCATAAACCATTTGGTACAAATATAATCCCCATAATTATGTGAAAATCCCAGTAAAGTTAACTATCATTTCCAAAAATAAAATCCCTATAATTTTTTAATCCCTCTAACAAAAAATTATCATTAATTAAAATTCATCAACCCCTCCAATAAATTCAAATATAATCGTAGCTCTTTAACCAAATTAAACCTTCTGCCGGATAATCCAAAGTTAAAAATATACAAAATATAATTAGCAGTATAAATTAATAACGTTAACGATTACCACTAATTGATAAAAAACATATCGGATATAGGTATAGAGTCCCATACAACGGACGCTAATAGAAAACACCGTTAAACAATCGGTTTATCGATCTTCGATTTTATACCATTTTGATAAATCGTATAATCAATAAATAAGAAGCTACCAACCATACACCGATTAACGTACCGTTCACAATAGAAAGTGCTCGTTACGATACTCATTGTTCTTGCCAGATCAAGAGAATGTGTTGCTAGTTTAATTAGGAGCACTTTCACACTACGGAAACCAGTAGAGCAACCTATTAAAAAAAAATTGTTAAAATTTGCTTAAGCACGCATTACGTGCAATCTTCCCACAATTATAAGTTTTCTCAATACCGTATCCACATACCAGATAACCCATAAAATGATAAGACCAATGCCCACGTCAATGATGAAATACAAAATTTGCCAATACATTATAAGACAATTTACTCAAAAACCCCCAATTTTTGTAAAAATTTTGAATATTCATTAAAAATAATAAAACCCTTAGGGAATTGCATGGTAAAATAAAAACACCCAATCGTTACTAACGACGACTCTCGACGGTCGCACGAGAGAAAATCCATTAACGCAAAGCGACGCCGTAACAGCCTCCCTATTCCCATTTTAACATTGGAAAGCGTCGCGACGCCACTTTTACTTGTTATAACCAACCAAATAAATGATCGTAAACCTACCAACGATAAATTTTATATACAGTGATTATTTAGGTAATTAATAAAATTTGTTGGTACAGTCATCAAGTAATCGAGATGGCCTCAAGCAGGTAGAGCAAAGTTTAATTGACTTAATTTAATTAATGAGGAATGACAGCGTTCCTGTGTTACGTCATGGATCCTCTTTATTATAATTGATGATTATTATCATCTGAATAACCATCAGGGCGTTTGACTGTCTTTATAAAATCATTGACTTAATCAGCATTCCTGGAATACCCGAATTTAAAACGACTAAGAATTTCTTCGAGGCAAAATTAATGTGAATAATCAACACTAATAATGTTATTAACCAACCGAATGAAACTACCAAGGAAGGTACTGACGATAAACGCATTACAGTCTCTCACCGGATATTCCCGAGTATCCCGACCAATGGGAGAATGCCCACGTGGCTTCCTACTTCGCCAACCTAATCCAGGTACCACTAATGAGAATATGGCTCCGCGATCTGAAAACTTTATCAGAGTTGAGATCGAACCCTTTCGCTCGTACCAAACCAAACAGCAAGGAATATCTATATAATTTATATGAAACGTCTATATATAGAAATATAACCACAGTATAGACAGGTTACTCTATCGGTGATTCCCCGTAGGTAGCCATAGTGGCGTAAAATAAAAATGCATGAAGGAAAAGAAATTTTAGAAAAATAATAAAAAATACAGTCACCTCAAAAAGTCTGTGCGAGAGAATAAATATTGTATTGTGAAATAAGGCAGAAACCTGGTTTCCATGGTAACCGTGGTTCGAGCGTCGAAATCGACAGAGCCACGTGAGGTAGGTAGTCGCCAAGCAGTGTCAAGGAAGTGATAGAAAAAAAAGGTTCCTGCTACTCCTAGACCGTATACTTTCTCCGAGGAAAATCATGTAACCGATAAAAAGGAAAGTAGCCAAATTCACTGCCGTGGTACACCTATAGCGTCGCTCCATATACAGAAACGTTGAGTGACCGATAAATGTAAAAAACAAAAATGATACCAAACTCCATAGCAATGATCGCAATATAGTCCAAGGTGCGACTAAACCGCAATAAATGGACCTTGGACGCGATGACTCTGATGGGATCCATTTTTTTTCTTATTAAGGAGAGTTTCGGTAATTTTAGCTAGTCGAAGATTCTACTTACGGAACTGGCCGATAGTATCGGCTTATTGTTATTCCAGTAGCGTAATTCGTTTACAATTTTCGAACCGGCCTGGCCAGGTGCCATAGATTCTTTTTTTTTAAAGAAAAATAAGTACAACCTGAAGCAATCTCAAGTTCTGAATATCTTATGAGAACTTGAAACGTAATGGTATCACATTCCATACGTGGTTCGTATATAGTGAAAGGGGTGAAGGGGAAAGATAAGTGGCTGAAAGATAAGAATAAAATGTAACGTGATAGCCGAGCTTGTCCTGGGATTACCCAGTGTTCCTCTATTCGCCGCTAGGCTACACCAGGTAACCTCCAAGAAGACGCACGGAGAGACTGGAACCCGTTGGATTCCGTCGGGACGAGTGTTACGCAAAGGTCAGACTACAGAAAGACGGTCTGATTTCTTAGGATGGAGATTTAATTGATAAGAAGTTATGGTGTCTGACGTAATACAACGTTTGAATCGTATTACCGTAGTATAACAGTGTCTTTTTAATGAAGTTTGTAACGCGTAGAACAATGTATACAGTTATACTGGTAAATCCAGTAGTAGTACGCCGGTGCATTCTGGGTAATATAGGTTATGGTACGGGTAAGACTTACATATCTGACGAATAGTACAAGCAGGTATAGCTATATATGCGATGGATCAGTTACGAGTGAGTCGTACGTGACATGATTGCTGAAAGGATATACATAGTAATAGTACGTGAAGTAATTGACAGTACCTAGAATTTTTTTCATCGACTCTGCTAAAAGTGCAAACTGCCTAATTTAGAGCATGCTAATTAGTCCTCTGGCTTGGTTAGCACCGAGGGGTTAAGATATTGCAGTAATTGTTAACTCGCGCCATTTTGCTTTACCTCTTAACCTCGCGCATCCGCGACCTAGTTTTAAAACGTGACCGCAGAGAATTCACGAGTGCAACGTACACGGGGCTTTTACATCGATTGCATGAAAATTCTCAAGAGCGTGTACCTCTCTTGAGAATTTCGTGTAATTCATTTATAAATAACGCAAATAAAAAAAAAAAGTGCCAGCGTTCTGTAAAAAAAGTGCATTTTGCGAGGTACATGCTGATTCGGTCAGTGCGCATGCGCGGTGGTGCATTAAACGAGTTTTCAGTTACAACAGGCGGATTCGAGAAAATTAAAGAAAGAGTCGAGCGGGAAGAGTAACGCGACGGAATAAGAGCGACGACAGAAAAACTGTAAGTGAAAAAAAAACCGAACTGTAAGTGAAAAAAAAAGAAATATAACAAATATCCGTTGGAGTTTCGTGAGCAGGTAAATTCAAACCTCATTTCCCAGCGGAGCTGGCATACATTACCTATATGCTCAGGGCAGATATACAACGTTACACGGTATACCGAAAGACTCGGCCATATTGTAGTTCAGTGATGTTTTTGGCACAAAGCCACGTACGTATTCGTCTGAAAAAATTAGCCTGACAAAGAACGCAAACGATCAATAAAAAATCAGCGGACGTTTCTAGGCCTACGGAAAGTTTGACAGATCCGTTGCAAAATTTTAGGTTAGAAAGATACATCGAAAACTTCTGAAACACCCGGAGGGGTATGATCTGTCGATTAAAGCAGTAGGTGGTCGCGGTATTGTTGAAAGGTAAGAAAAGCTTTGGTAAAATTGTTCAGACCTATTTAGGGCGAGTGCACAAGCTGTATTGTAGCAGCAATGCAAACACCTGCTGGAGTGTATTCGACGAGAACCCTTGAGACAGCAAAGGACGTATATACCTATACAGTATATATCTATACGTATATACCCATACCTATACAGACTGGAATAATTCACGGAGAGAAGGACGCAAATGAGATATGATGAATGACTTTAACGAAGCTTCAGAAATACATACCGGGTGTTCCGGTTGAGCGTGAACTAAGAAAAATAAATTTCTCTAACCTCAAACAAAAATTATACGTATCACGTGTACGACGGTGGCGAATAACGTGAATCTATCGCGCGAATAGACGTAAAGTCAATGTACTTTGCGTAACGCGTGCATTTCAGCACAGTTATGAAACAACTGTTCTCTCGCATACTAAACGTAATTGAAGGGATCGATCCCTCTTGCGTAATACAATACAATTTTGTAATGACGACCAAAGGCAGGTACGGGTTAAGGCGGGAGGAGCCTTCGTGTCTAGAAGAAGTCACGCAGCGGAGTAAACGGATGGGTAAAAACAAAACAATTCGATCGTATCTTCAGCTAACCATGACTAATTTTAGTATTAGCTAATAAAAATTATACGGGGTTGCTGGCTGCCCTAAGATTAATTCTCACGAAATTAATTCTTACCGAATTAATCCGCCTGAGTTATAAATGCATACAAGACTGTTCCTTAACACTAGATTTACCAGACCAGTCATTTTGACTCGTCGTGCAATTTCAATTCAAAATTCCTACTACATATGTCATTTGATTTCAGAAATGATGTTATGACTTTTGTAGCTATAAGTAGAGAATACATTTTATAAACTTAATGTTATTTTATATACATTAGTAACAAATATAATTTTTGTTATTGACATTTATACTAGTAACAGTCAAAATGAATAAATAGATGGTAAATCTAGTGTTAATTCAGTCTAACCATACGTACGAGTCTCTGTGCTGCTTATGAATTATTTCCATACATTAGTGATTTACCAGACCAGTCATTTTGACTCGTCGTGCAATTTCAATTCAAAATTCCTACTACATATGTCATTTGATTTCAGAAATGATGTTATGACTTTTGTAGCTATAAGTAGAGAATACATTTTATAAACTTAATGTTATTTTATATACATTAGTAACAAATATAATTTTTGTTATTGACATTTATACTAGTAACAGTCAAAATGAATAAATAGATGGTAAATCTAGTGTTAATTCAGTCTAACCATACGTACGAGTCTCTGTGCTGCTTATGAATTATTTCCATACTCTTTTCTCTCTAGGAATCTTTTTTTTTCCAAGCCTCCCTTTTTTCGCTCTCTCGACTATCTAGAGACGTAGAAGCCGAATAATATTCCAGATACACAGTGTACCCAGAGTACTGATTAAACATTTATACGTCGTTACACATACTAAGGATACCGACTATCAGCCTGAAAGTGTAATTAGTAACATAACCTAAAAAACAGTGAAAAATTTAGCGCTCCAGTACGTAACAGTATTCGATAAAAAAAAAATCAATCGATACAGATTATTGAAATTTCGCGAATTACCTATTTACAAAAAAAAAATTTCACAAATTCTGCCTCGCAAAGATTTGAGATATTTGTTCGCTTACAAAAGGTACAGTCGCTCCTAAAAATTATTGAGCACCAAACCCCTTCCATTAGTATCTATTACCCGTGCTTCCTTGTACTGTGCAGCTATTGCAATCCTTAAGGCTACTATCCATATGATTAATATGACTCTTGTCGCGAAACAATTGCCGGCAGTGCTTTTTTTTCAGTACAAAAAGAATACGTCCAAGTTTCGTTTAAAAGACGAAAATAAATACTCCCGTCTGATAATTTAAACATTTCCTCGAGTAACATATATACATATATACCGTTCGAACGTGGATATAATCGAACGTAGTGAAACTCGTTCGTGAAACCGGTATTCCGTTCGAGAGAATTGTCCGACTGGTCCTTTGCGCAGGAGCGACGCAGATAGCCATAGGGACAGCGTTACGAGCGTTGACGCTAGGGCTCTGGTTTCTCCGTAACGTTACTTGTAATTGCGAACGACGAAAACCAGAATCCGAATGGCTAACAGTTATCGCGGAGAATAAGTGTAACAAGGTCATCGAGGTAAACGGTACTGGAATTCGCTTTTTATAACATAAAAGTCAAATAACATTTTTTCGATGCTCTCTGTACAGGAAGTCTCAAAAGTTTCATCGCGTCGTCCCGATGGGTTCAAAAACAGCATTGACAGTTTAACAGTAAATATTATTAAATATTTTGCAGAAGTTTGAAAAATTTAATGTTTTTAAAAAAACATCTTATTTTTATCACTCTATTTACACGGAGCCGGCTGAAATGACGTCTTGAGATTCATGAGCATATATATATATATATATATATATATATATATATATATATATATATATATATATATATATATATATATATATATATATATATATATATATATATATATATATATATATATATATATATATATATATATATATAGATATAATGTACACAGGTTAAAAAACAAGTACACGTGCTCACACGCGAATTTAATGAATGACGTAAAATTGACAAAATACCAAACGATGAGTTTCACTTCAAAATATATTATCCAGATGGTCCATTGACTTGTTTAAGTGTGGAAATTTTCTTAAAGAAGAAACTACGTATATGCGTAATAACTATAATGATAAGTTATCGCATGACGTGTTAACACGTCTTTCTCGCTTAACAGCTTAAACAGTAACTAAGTACGTAATTTAGAGTTATGGTTGTTAGTGATGATTCAAAAAAAAAAAAAAAAAAAAAAAAAAAAAAAAAAAAAAAAAAAAAAAAAAAAAAAAAAAAAAAAAAAAAACAAAGAATACTCACCAAAATTTCCGTCTGATCGATCTTGCCAATTAGATTGGTAAAGGAATTCCGGTCGGCGATTAACCATATACCAACGGCAAGAGCAGCTCCGCCGGCGACCTGTAAACACGCACGTGGTTTAATACCCGATATATTCGTATACGAATTTTTCACTCGAAATTGTTTAACTTCCAAGGTCACGCAAGAATAGCGTGACACTGTACGATTAGGAATCCGTGAAGTTTCTTCCGTTTTGAAAAACAAAAGAAAACCGACGACGCGAAACCGTTACGAATCCCATACGCCAAAGTGGCTTGTATCATAACGAATCTCGTGCCGATGATAAGTGCAGGTAAGCACGTGAATACTGATATTTTATCATTACGTAAGTAAACAATGCATACAAGGACGAAAATATTGTAGGATAACTAATAAACAGTAGCGTGGAGCAAGATAACGCTGTGTAATTTTGACAGCTATATATCCGGTTGGGAATCGTGAGAATGAAATATGCAAAACTTGGAAAATATATTGTACCGAAATTTGCTGTGTTATTTATGTAATATATAAATAAAGTTAGAAAAAAATATTTGTTTAAATGTATACTCACGAAAAAGACGAAATTGAAGAAGCACAGAAAGTACTTGGCACACTGTGACATACACCCCATTTTGAATTAGGATCCTTGGACTTGGCCTGAAACAAAGGAAAATATTAATATCAAATTTGTTCGACGAAGAATTAAAGATGGCGCAATAACCCGACGAATGAACTAACGAAGCGTTTACATTGAAAAATAGTGATTATAATCACTTGTCCAGTTTCCAGATTACTGTGACGTATTAATTAGTCCGCGGACAGAGGTCGTACGTAAAGGACGGAAAAGTCTTTTAAAAAAAATGAAACTCGACTACCAATGCCACTACGGTCTTATTTATACTTGACACAAAGTATCCACTCGAATGATATAGTACCTACAGTAAGACTGACTGGTAAGAGAAACACTTGTTACTGAATTTTTACTATACGCCGAGTATCCATGTCCACGACAGTTTCTCGGACAGGCTTAACTTACAAGTAACCTTTCGCCGCTTCAAGGCTTCCCTGCTGCTGCTGTCCCGTCGCCGATACTTCCTACGTGTCGAATTACTAAGCGTCTAAGTAAAGTCGATCGATGTCGCCCGATGGCGAAGGAATATGGGAAACCAAAAGGGCGTCAAGGGCGGTTCACAAAAAAAAAATTTTCGACAATCCAAATTGAAAATTTGTCGAAAGTCGAGAAAGGCAAGTGACCATTGAAAAAAAAAAATTTGAAATTTTTCAAAAATACTTTTTCGAAAATTTTCTAAAACTACAATCCAACGTCTCGTATTCGCAGTGCCAATAATTCCGTGTTTTCTTTATCCGGCAAAAAAATACGCTCTCATCTGGCGACGTTCCAGAAATCTATTTGTCGCGTATACTCCCGTCGAAACAACTTACGTATCCCGCCCACTCGAGAGAAACTCATTTACCTTTGTTAACTCCGACCACCGTACTTAACCTTTATTGCGAGCAATGCGTGCGATTACGCGCATATACACATGGCCGACCATTGGCTCCGTGCGTTTAACAAACCAGCCGAGTAAACGTGTCTGTCTTTTAGTCCTTTTTATCATCTCACTCTTGTTCAATGGGAACCCTAGGTTTCACCGTACCGTAGTAAAGGGCTGTGGGGCAGGGCCTAAAGAGATACTCAAATGCATTTCATAGAAAAAAAAATCCCTTAGCCTGTGGACGAGCATTTGGTCCGCCGCCGAGAATAATAATAATTCTGAATAAAAATACAAACGATTAAAAATGTCAAAATAAAATATTTTACAGTAAAAACATTTGTTTTCATACTACCAAAATTACCAAATGAGAACCACCGCTGTCTAATGGATTATAATTTCATAGAAGGCGTAGCGGGGTATACAGGATGAACCATGGGTTGTATAAATGTATTATATGGATGAACTGTATATAGCTATAGGGTGAGAGAAGGGATTAATTTAATCGATCCTAAAGCCCATTCGTCAAAGTCCCTCTTGTCGAAAGAAGAGTTAAGACTGCATACCAAGGCGACATATGACAGAAGCCGATTTCTTTGTGTCCTGACGAATCGAGAAATTACACTGTGAATCGTGCATAACGGTAGAATAATTAAACACTATGTTACCCGTTAGAATCATCCTCGATTAGATTCTCCATTATGCACAACGTACAGTAAAATAAATTTTCCTTTTTACAACTTTTCCTAACCTCAAAATCGCTGTCAGCGTCTCGCGTCTGCACTCGACATATTACCCAGAATTCATCGGCTACGGTTCCCCTGCGTTGTTTACTCAATTAACGTGCTTTAACAGCTCGCCCATTTTTCAGTATCACGTAACCTCCCCCACGCGTAAGAACCCAACGTGCTTCGACGTAGGTAGAAAAATTGTAAACAGTACGACCTGTCAAAAATTCCGTGTTCGACGCTCTGTCCAACTTGTGTGACAAAACTTTTTTATATACCTCTGTACGTTAAACACGTAGATAACGCACCCGGCCATTTTCTATTTATTGCACGCTATTTGTCACGTGTCGTACTCAGCTTCAATGATGTTCCAATAGTTCGTGCCGTGTAAAGGAGTACTAGTCATACGTGACATAAAAAGGACTCGTGTCCCAACGACTTATTATTGTGTTTTGCACAACGCAGATATCGAATATAAAGCCCACTTACTATTTACATGGAGATTTGCATTTTTTTAGTCATAAATCGCCAGATCGAGGTCGTAACTGAAACATTGGCCGAAGGCCATCGCAAATGATACACTTTATTTTGATTATATGTAGCGCTACTATTACTGTATATTCTCATGACAATATATGCATATATACATACACAAGTTATTCCGTGCGTTATTTTTACTAAATATCTACCAACAACAGACAAACATCCTCTCCCGGTCCGAAACCACAGGAAAGGAATGTTGGATGGAAATTGATAAAGCGTCGAAACGAAAGACGGCGTATTACGTGGAAAAGGATGATTCGACGAAAATAAATGAACCTCGAAAAACTAGCCTTGGTACATTATTCGCTCACGTTGCTTCATTCGACGAGCTGACCAATAAAAAAATTCAAATCCTGACGCAAAGTTTATCGCACGTTTGTATATCTGTAATCAGAATTTAAACTTGTACAGTGTAAACGATCGAGTTGAAAGTAGGTTGTCACAATGGACGGAGAATGATACACAGCTAACTTCACGACGATCGACTGGGTAACCGATGTCCGATTGAAATAATAAAGGCATAGTACCATTGTTGTATTCATACATATACAGTAATATACCAAGAACAAGGTATAGGAACGTAAGTATACACTATAGACATTACACGTATAGGTATACGCAGAGAGACAGGAAGGACTATAGTGACTTGCTTCTTGGGATTCGAGTCACGAAGACTTCGTGAATGAAAACAATTATAAAATTTCGTAACCCTTCAGTTTGATTGGTGCTTACAAATTACATATCGTATTGCCTCGTGCAATGAATATTATTGTTCTTAGGATACTTCACTACAAATTGTCACAGTCAACGTCTGCGTGTTCCTTGTCAGAGCTGGGGAGGATCTTCGAAGACGTCTGCTAGATGGAGTCACTAGCCTCACTACCGAATAACGTAATTCGATGTCGGTGCACCGGGTATATTTGAACTTTTTAACGAAATCGGTCAGAGCTGTGAAGACGACGTAAAATATGAATTAGAAAAATTTGAGACATGAACGAACCAAAGCACAAGAATCATCGAAACCGAAGCTGATTGGTACTTTGATGAAGTGTCGATTCGAAAGTCCTGACATTTTTCACGAAGAAATTAAAATACAAGGAACACAAGAGAACTAGAAAACGTACGCGGGCAGTTGGGTCGCTTGAAACTGGCAGCCATAAACTGAAGTCAAGAGAGAGAAGAGACTTGATTGGTCGGCCTAGTATCGGATATCCAGTAGCCGGGTTCTTGTTACGCCAGGTAGAAATTTACCTGTCTGTACGTAGAAGAACATTGTGCAACTATGAACTCGCTATAGTCTATTATAATATCGCGTACACCTAGGATGCACCGATCGTCCGCTGTGACAGGAGAGTCTCTTGTTCCAGTTGGACTCTGACTCATCCGGCTGAATCTGCGAAGCAGGAGGAAACTGGTCAGGCCGAAGAAAAACAAGTCCTGAAATCGAACAACCGGAATTCCTTGTCACTGTTCCAAGTGGCACGGATCTGGAACTTCTTATAACATCCAGGGTCCTGGACGAGACCGGTACGAATCATTGATACCCGGTATTGGAACTGAAGTTACCTTAGCCGACTTACCTACCTATGACAAAGCTATATATAGTCTTGTCGTTGCCACTACGATAATATGGAGCATCAGCTGTCTTCCGTTATAGACGCTAGTTTGTTATTGACCGGAAACGCAGAATCCGTAAGACAGTAAATTTTTACTATATTTTAATATTGAAAATATCTGTATAAAAATAATTTTTTTTTATTTTTCATTGATTTTTTTTTCATATCGCTCACAATTAATATCCTTATCCGATTTGTAATACGCTCGCGTACCGTGATCGAAGATGCTGACGTTCTTGAGAAGCTCGTAACACCCTATCCCCATATCCCCAATAACATATACACGCGTGGTAAAGAAAAAGCTAAATTATCTTGAGGAAAATCGTACATACGGTGCAAAAAAGATAGATTTCCACTAGAAAATCTCATTTCGATTTACCACCTCGGGATATATGCTTTATAAAGATTCGAAGAAGCTTCCAAGAGTTCGGCCTTGACAGTTTTACCAGCTCTTTGATCCGCCAGCTTTTCCTTCTCGTGTTTGAAAACACCCAAGCTAAAAAAGGAACAACGATAAAGAGAACAGTGAAAAGAAAAATCATAAAATATTCTTCAAGAATAATTCATCTCGGCGCGGCAACGCCGAGACCTTGGAACAACGAGGATGACGCAATCCTTTATCTTCGGAGACACGACGCATGAATAAAGATGGTAAGCCGTGCTAACGAGTAACCAACGACAGAGTCGTCAGCGATGCAAATATATACCTGTGTGCATACGTTGTTGCTTTACCGAATATGAGCGTCAGTGCGGAAAGCCAGCGTTGCCAGGACCTTCTGTATTTACATGTTAAACCAAGAGTGCACCAAGCCGTAACATTACGTGACTTTAATCACCGTAGCGCAGTAGGTCACTGCCGGGAGCAACGAATCGTTGCTATTACACTTTTATCTCCCGCGACGCTGAAACCACAACACTTGGATATCTGCCAAATGGAAGCTGAGCTCGAAGTAATCCATAGAATTGCCAATTGAACAGCAGTGCACGTTATATACACTTCTTATATGTATACTCTTCTACCTGTCAGTAGTGCGCATAGAGATATACCTAAAGCAGGTAGAGTTCCGCGATTTCGATTCGCATTTTCCAGCATATACGTACGTAACCTCTTCCGAGCGAATCCAACCGTACATTTATAATCCTACAATATAAATTTTAAAGTGAATAATTCAGGAGACCAAAAGAAAAAATGTGACCGGGCACTTTTGTAGGTTATAAAAGTATTCACTCGACAGATAACACAATACCATATGCGTATAGGTATACTGTCTCGAGAA